AAGATCCCTGGTTTCTCCAGTCCAATCCAGTACTTTGACTCTCCACCCTCTCCTCCCCCCCGGCCCCCCGCCCCTCCCGTCCTGCAAAAAACTCCGGTTTGTCTGCATTTAAGAGAAACACGAGGCTTCTAGGGTAGCTGGTGCTTCCTGCTGCCATTTCCAGGGACAGTCCCAGACAGAGGAATGGGGACAAGAAAGGGACGGGTTTCCTCTGAGTCAGGAAAAAACGCGCCATTGGGGGAGGTCAGGGTGCAGGGGGTTGGGCGGCCCAGCTTCCCTATCTCAGCTCAGCTGTTTTCTCTGAGATCCAGGTAGCGGTTCCCGCTTTTTTGCAGCCACAGTGCCACCTGCTGGCCACTGGCGGAACTGTAGGGCTTGTAAGGCCGATTGCCTTTCTGTTACCCCAAGACCCACCCTTTGCGCCCCCTTTCCCCTCCGTGGCACTTCTTCCTGTTCCCCCATTTCAGATACCACCCAATACCATTCAGAGCTGACTTCTGTGTGCCTGGCTGGGTTTAGTTGTTTATTTTTTTTAAAATATATTTTATTGATTATTTTACAGAGAGGAAGGGAGCGGGATAGAGAGTTAGAAACATCGATGAGAGAGAAACATTGATCAGCTAACCCCCTGCACACCCCCTACTGGAGATGTGCCCGCAACCAAGGTATATGCCCTTGACCAGAATCGAACCCGGGACCCTTTCAGTCCGCAGGCTGATGCTCTATCCACTGAGCCAAACCAGCCAGGGCCGAGAATGAGTTATTAACAGTGAATGTTTTGCATTTCTTCTGGTTCTAAGGGCCTCATAGACAGTCTATAAATAGATATGGTGGCATATTTATACATTTCAGTTCTCTATTCTATGTTTTGAAACTGTGCTATTTTTTCCTATCACTTCCTATTATTATTTTTTTAAAACAATTTCTTAGTGATTTCTTCCTCAGTCCTTCCACTGTCCTTTCGTCCTTTTATTTTTCTCTCTCATGGATGCCATGTTCTTTGGAAGCTTGTTTAGACCAAGTTCATGGCCTTTGAGGCTTCCTCCACGTGAATAGGAGCTCACTTTTTAATAATAAGAATTATAGGGGGGAAAAAAAAGAATTATAGGTCCCAGGGGGCATCAGGATGTTAGAGATGCTGAGGTGGGGGATGGCCACAGAGAGGTTGGGGACCCCTGCCTTAGCGGTTATAGTTGCCTGCGTGGTCCTGTCCCAGCCGGCTCCCCCGAGGCCGAGACAGGCTGAGCCTGGCGAGCCGAACAAGCGAGGATGCCCTGTCTCCTTCCCTGAGGGCTGGGCCATCTCCTTGTCCTGCTAGACATTCCAGTCGGCTGGCTCTCTAGGCCCACTGCCCCCCCACTCCCTGCCAGTTACCCCAAGGGAGACCAGCTGTGGACTGGGGATTCCGCCAGATGTGAGACACACCCATCCCTTCCCTGGGAGTCTTCAGCTATTCTGAAGGCCACCTGAAGGTGCACGTGACTAGTACCAAACAGCCGGGCACATTCCTGAGTGTTTGGGGCAGGCCAGAATGAAACCCAGGTCTGTCTGACAGTATGCCAGCTGTTGGGTGTGGAATCTTCTAGACCAGCGATGGCGAACCTTTTGAGCTCGGTGTGTCAGCATTTTGAAAAACCCTCACTGAACTCTGGTGCCGTGTCACATATAGAAATGTTTTGATCTTTGCAACCCTAGTAAAACAAAGACTTCTATTTTTGACATTTATTTTATATATTTAAACGCCATTTAACAAAGAAAAATCAACCAAAAAAATGAGTTCGCGTGTCACCTCTGACGCGCGTGTCATAGGTTCGCCATCACTGATCTGGACGCTGACAGAGGGTCTGCTGGGCAAGGATCAAGGTTGGTCCCTGAGCCCCGGGAGTTCTGATTCTCTGACTTCCACCGGCTGGAAGTCCTGTTCACGGCTCTGGGTGGGTGTGTGGGTGGTGGAGACGACGTCACAGCCTGGCGTGGCAATCAGGGGTTTGTGTGTGTGGCTTGGTACAGTGTTTGTCTCTGGGCCTCAGTTTTCCCGCCTGTCAAATGGGGTGGCTAATATCTTCAGGTTTCTGTGCGGGAGATGAATTGACCGAAGTGAGCACTGAATCAGTGAGATGGTTGTTACTTGTGTCCTGGATGATCAACCCAGGACTCAGCAGTACGTAGGA